CTAAAGGTGTATAATATTAAAGCGTTATTTTAGTATGTCAGTGTTATTTTATACCCCATTATTTAATTCTAAAGGTCTATAATATTAAAGCGTTGTTTTAGTATGTCAGTGTTATTTTATACCCCATTATTTAATTCTAAAGGTGTATAATATTAAAGCGTTGTTTTAGTATGTCAGTGTTATTTTATACCTCATTATTTAATTCTAAAGGTCTATAATATTAAAGCGTTGTTTTAGTATGTCAGTGTTATTTTATACCCCATTATTTAATTCTAAAGGTCTATAATATTAAAGCATTATTTTAGTATGTCAGTGTTATTTTATACCTCGTTATTTAATTCTAAAGGTCTATAATATTAAAGCGTTGTTTTAGTATGTCAGTGTTATTTTATACCCCATTATTTAATTCTAAAGGTCTATAATATTAAAGCGTTATTTTAGTATGTCAGTGTTATTTTATACCCCATTATTTAATTCTAAAGGTCTATAATATTAAAGCGTTATTTTAGTATGTCAGTGCATAGCAATCGAAAACAAAATTTATATTCTTATAACAATCAGCTACAGTTTCTTTAATCATATTAGGTCAGTAAATAATAAATATATTACTCTAACTAATGACCTTTCATATGATTTGCTTTGACGTTTATTTAACTTTGATCCTGCTTTAAATGTTGATGTAAAGAAAATAGCCTTTTTCACTGAAAAATTAAACCAAGTTTGAGTTAGTGATAATGCACTAGAAAACCCCTTATAATATATATAAAAATCTGGAGCTCATAACCTTCCTGAGCTTCGTCTTGGATGGGCATGGTATCTCAAGTGTTCCTCCGTACTTTCTGTGTTATTTACCTAGTCTTTAAAATAGCTGTAACGTCAGAAAAGAACATAGCATCGTAATATGTAAGCGTTAACATTCCTAAAGTGCCATTCATCATAATTTAGTCGACATTAAGTCCTCGTAGTTCTATCTCATCATTCCTAATCTAGTGCTCTTCCATTTGGACTTAAAACTGTGTTATTTTTCTCTTAACTAAGGGACTAAAATAATCTCCGTTCTCTGTCAAAATACTTGTGATACAAAATGAAATGAGTATATGCATTTCAATATTAGTGCAAAAACAAAACCTTTCGGATAAGTCAGTCAGTGGTTGATTTCATATATACAGGATATATGTTCATTTCTGGGTTGAGATCCAAAAGTAACTATTGCTAAAAATTCTCGATCAAAATGACAAAAACTGTAATTCTATTTGTTTGTTCACCTGAACGACATCTAGTGGACTGAACGACTAGATCAGAGACCCCCATATTATTGAAATTAACATTCAAGTACAATTTAATTTCTATCTGGGAAAGAAAAAAAAAACTAGGTCAACTGTTATCCAGAAAGTTTAGAGATAATGATACTTCTGGAGATGTGTATGGAATAGAATGTACAGATCGCAAAAAAATGTTTTTTGCTCTTCAACGGGAACATTTAAAATCTCCTTCTCATGTTTCTAAACATGTCTAGGAAATTATATTTTTTTGTTCTTATTAGGTAAAAATCCTCAGCAAAAAAACAATAACGTTAACAGACGAAAAATAAAATTATAAAGGTGTTAATTTATATTTATTCTAATCGTTATCTCTTGTATATAAAACACATTTCTAGGCTTAGCCTTAAACCTTAAAACTCTATTTATATATTTGACAGTTTATTGATAAATAAATACCTTATTGATTATACATTTGCCGAATCACATGGTTTGTGGAATATTATTGCAATGGATAGTCTTGTGATCCTCTTATCTTAACTTAATTTCTCTTAGTCTCACTTCTTGTATCTCGTTTAATGATGACAAAATAAATAAACGTTTGACTCTTTACAACCGCTAAAACATTGTCTGAAAGAGAACACTAGGGTTCAGACATAGTCGTCCCTAATTTTGATCAGCAGATAGAGGGAAGACAATCAGTCGACAGTACGCACCGCGTGAAGCAGCTACTCTTAACCGGAGAGAATTATTAACAGTTACTCTTATAACGCACCTAGAAACTGGAAGTGCATGTCGTATTTAGTAGTACCACGTCTCGAATTCCCAGTACGATATTCTGACCACTAGGCCACACTCAAGCCACCTATAAGTCAAATTTTCTTCCAGAATATTAATCTGAATTGCACAAATTCACTTAAATTGCCTAAATACAAAGTTTTCTTAGTTAACGATATTTCTGTAAGTTTTGTTTTAAGTATTATTATTGTTATATGCGTACATAGAAATAAGGTCATCGTGTTAATTTATCTTACATATTTTACGTTGTTTCTTACAGGAAGTGTATAGTGGTCCAGACACTATCTGCAGAATAGAAAATCTCTTGTTTAGAACACTCTACAATATAAGAGTTAAGGCTGTCAACAACATAGGCTCAAGTGGTTTCAGCGATGTCATGTCTATTCGAACTGACGAAGGTGAGACAACCAGATAAAACTATGACGTGATTGCTACCCGACCAAACCCAGTTGACCCATTTGATTTCATTTAAAGTTACTGATTTCCTTCAAATTCATCTCATTTTGCTCGTATTCTGATGATTATATAACACGTTTGTCGTAGTTTAGTAGGTTGTTGTTAAGCCCAAAGCTACACAATGGGCTATCTATGTTCTGCCCACTACGGGTACTGAAACCCGATTTTTAATGCCGTAAGCCTGCAGAAATACTTCTTAACAAATGGGGGGGGGGGTATTTTTTGTAGAAATGTATGTATAAGGAATGTGTTTGTGAAACTGACTACTACTTATTACACTTTTTTTTTACATATACTTTCAGGTTTTGCTTTAAGACGATAGTATCTGTTTAAGTTGTCTCTCATCCTCACCTTTCATGTTATTGTTTTCAATAAAATCTAATTAAAACGAATTTTGCTTAAACGTTTATCAGCTGAAAACACACACTCACACACCAAAGTGCACGTGATGTAAAAACAGGTGCACGTGATACATGAGTAAAAGTAAATGTAGTAAGCGAAACATGGTGCCATATAGGTAGATGCTTAACCAGAGTCATGACTATAGAGTAGATTTTTTATCCTTCTCAAAACAAAAAAAGAAAGAGATCTATTTAAACTGTAAGTTCGAAACGTTTGTAGCATTGTTTAGTAGCCCCCCAGTGGTACAGCGGTATGTCTGCGGACTTACAACGTTAGAATCCGGGTTTCGATACCCGTGGTGGGCAGAGCACAGATAGCCCATTGTGTAGCTTTGTGCTTAACTTCAAACACCAATTGTTTAGTAACTATTTCCTAGTCTTGTTAACGGTGTTTTGTTTTTATAAACGTGGCTTTTCTTTTTCAACTTATTACAAAAGTGAAACCCATTACAGTTTTGAAATCTAGAGACACGCTGTTGAAATCGTGTTTTTTTTTTTGAGCTGACTTTGTTTTTCATGGGCCAGTACAATAAAAAAAATGTGACGCGCTCGAACTTCTATTTGTTCTTGGCCAAGGGAATTAGAAAAAGCAAGCTAGCTACGATCGAAGTGCGAAGATAAGGAACTTAACCTACCTGGCTCGATTAAATGTGATTTTGATTGATTTTACAGTCGTCGAATAAGCAGCAGTGTCTGTACTTGAAGGTTACGTTATTTCTTCGGCTGAAACTAAATATATATATATATATTAGTTTTTCGTACCTGCTAGAAAAATTCGTTAGTTTCAACTTGTCCAATTTTTTATCAAATGACAATATCAGAGGATGTCAACCTTCTGAATGAACAAAATCTTATTGTTGGATCACATGATTGTTGTTATATTCTTATAAAATTCCTCTTTGCATATGGGTGTGTGACAGCTTTCTGTGTGACAGATCAAAGCATCAGAGTCACATCAATATTTTAAGTGAAAGTTGATTATGCTTATTTTCTAAATCTCATAGACAATTGTTAAATTACTTTTATTGTTTTAATAAAGCTCTTATATTTTAGTATATTTTGTTATAAGTGTAATTTGGTTAAGAAATAAGGTCGTATTATGAAAAATCGGCTAAAAAAGAAGTTTGTGATAAGTATGAGATTGGAAAAGTCCGTTTTAAGTGTTCGCTCTAAAGACTGTTGATTTTGAAAGTCAAAATTAACTGAGGTAAAATTTTCAAATTTGCTAAAAACCACAGTATGGTAAGCAGACAGCTTCTCAGTGGCACAGCGGTAAGTCTGTGGACTTATAACGCTAGAAATCTGGTTTCGATATGGTGGCCTCGCAACGAGCCTCCTGGTTCCACTTTGTGGAACTATGACTCTAAGACAGTAGAGCCCTCTGATGAAACTTTGGGGAAACTATAACGTTATTATCTCTACCACCCCTCTCTTACGTCTGAGGTAGGCAAGATACTTATGGTATCTAACTCAGCTTATGAATATGTTAGTATTTATATAAAGTGTGTTAAACAATAAATATGAAAATATCTCAAATGTTTCTGTTTTTTTTTTATGGAATCATAACTTCATTGTTTAACTGCACTAGTTATTGATTGTTTTACAGAAAACACTATTTCAGTACTACAAACAAACAAATGAAACCTTACAAAAATCTGCATTAATAATGAAGATAACTACCTTTTTCCAAGTTAAAATAGTCAACTATCAACTGAAATATGAGGCTCTAGTCCATCTAAGTGCATTTGTTTGGGAGAATATTGAGTTCAGACGTACCTATACAGACACTTCCCTTAGTGACACCGTCCGCCTTTTCTTTGCTGTTCGTTGATTTTTATTTTATCATCTACTTTTCCACATTGCCAGTATACGGATGTGGTGTTTTACATCATAAGCCATAGCCCAGTGTTTCTCAACCCTTTCTAGCACAATGCACACTTACTTTAATAAAAAATGTAGTATGACATTATTCCACATTCCCTTAGCAACCTAGGAATGTTTAAACATAATTTACTTTCAAGCTGAAATATGAGCTCGTCCCAATATGTAGAGTCGCTTTATCCTGGCAGGAACGGTTGACAGTAGCTTCTGATTCACTGACCACAGATGCCCTCTTTGTTTGTTTTTTCAAAAAAATTAACTCGCACAGGTATCAGGTCAAATCCCTCCTATGTCGAAATGGCACATGGGATCTGGTGCTGAACTCCGGCTTAATTGACACAAGCGTATAAGAATGGTGACACATTTCTTCAAGACGAGATGCCAGTCCATCTCAGGTTAACCCCCCCCAACTAATAGCTGGATAACCATCATACATCTGGGTATACTAAGGTAAAATGTCTTTCTCACAGACACAACAGCGCGACACTAGTCAACTTCGAATTCGCAAACATCCAACTATGGTCCAAAGCGCGAAGCCACTGAACCACGAAAATGGAAACAAAATTTAGATTGCATGGTCTGAGACTGCTGATTTTTCGTTACAACAGTGAAATAGAATGAGCCCAACAGCATATTACCAAACTTAATTTCTAAACTGCTAGCCATTATGGAAATGTTCTTATCGCTTTCCATTTCAGATGAGCTCCAGTCGAAATCTTCAAAACGAGCTGAAGGAAAACAAAAACTAAATTTCTCTTCAAGACTTTTCAAACTCTGAAGAAGGACATTGAACAAAAAAGTCGAACTTGCCGAATATGCCAGAGGGAACATTTCTAGTGCTACCTTTTAACGCTAGATAACTAAATCTGAAGGCTTATAACACTAAATACTGGGTTTTGTTACCCGTGGTGGGCACAGCATAGATAACCCATTACATAGCTTTGTGCTTAACACCAAACAAACAAACAAAAATACTTTTTTTAGAAAATTTCTTATTCCGTGAATTTATACGTATCATTAGTTATCGCCAACATAAGCTGTCTACGTCTTCTCATGGAGCTGTTTAGGCCTTGGTGGTCATATCCGGCTATTAACCAGTTTTTGTTTTTCTTACTGTGGCTGGTTCAGCTAGCACAGGCAGTGAATTTTAATGTATCACTCAGTATTTTGAAGTTAAATTGGAAAATTTCTTGGATAAAGGAAGGCTTTGACAGTTTGATCTGTCTTTGTGTATGTATTTGTTTTATGTGCGTGTGTTTGGCATGTATTATACGTTTTACTGAAAGTTCAAGTGGAGGTCAGTCTAGTGTTTAAATGTTTTGACATAATGTTCTATCTACCTTTGTTATGTGTCGATTGTAACCGTGTTCTCATTTAGCGTGATATTTATTTTTTCTTTTTGTTTGTCTGTCTTTGGACGAATCAATTTAAACATTTTTACTTGTGAAATACGGTCTTTGATTGGTTTCTAAATATTGAACAACAAAAAATGCTCACTTACAAAATCTTAAACCTCATTTTTTTCGAGGTTTTCCTTGTCCATGTCGGATTATCCCACACGTACCTCAAGCTTTCAAAAGAGACCATACAACGAGAGCCAGCCATTCGTTGCTAAGAAATCAACACAAAGCGTGACCTACTTTTACAAAATAGAAGTTACACAGTTTTCTTACAAAGTTTGTTTCTCTCTATATCACGATTTTTGACATATAGATAAATTTTAGATGCCGTACTCGTGTTGAAAAGACTATCTATAAAACTTCACTATTGCGACCACTTTTAAGTATCATAACAAAAATTTGAAAATGATATTTCGAAACAAGAACTCCTGATAAGGCCAGTTTACACGAGTTCATTGATAAAATATCCATACATAATAAATTAATTAGAATGATTTACCAATCCTTTTAGTTTGTTTGTTGTTACGCGCAAAACTACACAATGAGCTATCTGTGCTGTGCCCCCCACGGGTATCGAAATCCTGTTTTTAGCTGAGGTACTGGAGAGGGGGGGTAATCCTTTTATAGTTCAGGTCGTAGAGTAGCTGATGCTTACAAATACGTGTTCAGGTCGTAGAGTAGCTGATGCTTACAAATACGTGTTCAGGTCGTAGAGTAGCTGATGCTTACAAATACGTGTTCAGGTCGTAGAGTAAACACGTATTTGTAAGCATCAGCCACGTATTTGTAAGCATCAGCTACTCTACGACCTGTACTCTACGACCTGAAAACACGTATTTGTAAGCATCAGCAAAATGTGTTATTTTTTACACACTAGAATTTTGACCACACTTTAATATTAAAAATAGAAATTGGGAAAATATTGAAAGTGAACATAGTTATTGTGAGCTCTTACAGTTCCGGTATATATTAAATGACATCTTGATTTCTGGTTTAATGAAATACTATTTTTGAGCTCTTAATACTTTCTGTTGTTTTACCTGATATTGGATAAAAAGCCGTTTTTTTAGTTTTTTTTTACAAAAGCTTCAATTGTCAGACAATTTTTAGTAACGTGGTTTCTATATTCTCTCTAGTGGCCTGGTTTAGTTTGGATCCATTGACTGCCCACTCTGACATCATACTGTCCAATGAGAATCAAACTGTCACGTGCGACACCTACGAACACCGCGTGGTGCTAGGAAACTTAGGTTTCTCCCAAGGGTTGCATTACTGGGAATTTACTATTGATAAATACAATACGAATGCGGACCCTGGATTTGGTGTCGCCACTTTCGATGTGGCCAAAGACATAATGCTGGGTAAGTCGAGATTTTTCACTTTATTTGATATATATATATATATTGTCGTTGTTTTTGAAAAACAACAACAACACAGAAACAAACAAATAAAAAACGATATAATTCCTAAAAATATTGTACTTTTCAAATAGCCAAACAAGAATATTTAGAAACTCTGATATTTAACTTATCGATTGATAACCTTATTCTTCTAGCTTTCTACTTTAAAAATTAGACAAACTATTAAACGCTTATAGCACTGATTTTCTACTAATTTATTTTAACTGCATCTTTCGTTATTTTATACCATTCGTGAAATTAGTGCCTGATGGCTATCTTTGTACTTACCCATAATCTGAAAAAAAATCCCAAACTTTCAAATTATGACTCCCAAGTAAACTGCTTCGAATTTCTTTAAGAAATCTATCAATAATTACGGTAGGTTTATCGTTAGCAGCAGTACGCCTGAATAGCTAATAGGAAGTTTCCCGCCAAAGAACAGTTTTTAAACATTGATGAGGAGTATTCTGAAGAAATTACCGATTAAAATAAAGAAAAGAAAATGACTTCTTTAACTTTAATTTTCAAGAGTTAGATAACTAAATGGAAAGATAAAAAAGGAATCATACCTATACACTTAAAACAGTTTTAATAAAATAACACATCGGTTGGCTGACAAGTAAATTACGAAGAGAACTGGTTACTTTTTCACCAATTTCATCAATTAGTTTAAAGAAAGTGCTTGTTGAGTACATTTGGTAAAAAATAACCAGTCTTAGCATGGTGAGTCGTACATACACAAACCGAATGTTTGGTTATTTTTTTAACCAAGTTTTAAAGTTTACCCAGTCTAATCACATAAATTACATCTTACTCAAATGGCAGATCTAAATTATCCATACTCCTCTGTAGCATGTAAGTAGTCGTGTTGTTGTACCAAAGTTCAAACATTGCACAGAAAAGATGACAAATAAAACCATTGCATAGAAAGAAATAAATTAAATCCTAAGTGTGTGTGTGTGTTTTAATTAATTTAGTTAGCTATTTGTGTTAGAAAATATATGTATGTTTAACAAGAAATTACGTTAATACGTATTTATTAATAAAAATAAAAAATTACAATTTTTAAGCGTGAAGAAATTCGGAACTCTTAAGACCACGTTTAATCGAGTATAGAGTGGGTTTTAAAATTAAATAGTAAAAAAAGAAACACTTTTGTGGTTAAATATGCTAGGTAAAGTATAGTCTATCCTGATGAAGGAAATATTTACGTTTAAGGTTGGAGGACCAAAGGGTTTTCTTTTCTGGTGTTTACTGTCATGAGCTGAATATGCTATTTTCAGGTAAGGATGACAAAGGATGGAGTATGTATATCGACCATCAGAGATCGTGGTTCTTACATTCCGATCATCACCACAGTAGAACAGAGGGCGGAATAGATACAGGATCTGTCGTTGGAGTGCTGTTAAACTTGGATGAGCATCAGCTAAGTTTCTATGTTAACGATGAACGCCAAGGCCTCGTAGCTTTCACTGGTCTCCACCAGGAAGTGTTCTACCCTGCAGTCAGTGTCAACAGAAATGTCCAAGTTACAGTGCACACGGGATTAGACCCTCCAGTGGAAAGTAGTGACCACGATAGTGAAGGAGAAGGAAAGGGCGTAGGGTAGTTCTTTAGGTAATCCTGATCTGGTGGTGATATGATCGTTAAAATATTATGAAATGAACTTCAAAATATCGCAGTAGAGAATTTGATGTATGTTTTCTAAAAAAAAGAAATTAAATAACACGCTTTAATTAAATTATATTAACAACTTTTTCAGGTTTGTATCAAATTATGTAATGAAAAGAGGGGCTGTAAAATTTTTGCTGATGTAGTATAGATCTTTTTGTCCACTAGGAATCTAAACACTTAATCAAAGAACAGTATTATTAATATTTACAAAACAAAAACGACTACCCACTCCAGAAAAAAAACTATTTTATTCCAAACCGACGTTTCGTGAAAAAAGGAATCAAACTCAAGTGACATATATAATTAATTACAGAAGACTTGTTTTCAACTATGAGGAGGTAGTAAAATATTGGATTGAATGCATCCTTTGAACGACTCGTATTATCGTAGCCAGTAAATATCATATCGTTCAACGTTTCACAAATAACACAGGCCTGCGAATTTAAACTTCATAAAAGTTGTTTTGGTTTTAATAACGGATTTTCCATAATTCAGCTACGCATATCTCGAAAATAATATTCATTTTTTTTCCATCACGAAAGGAGTTTTTACAAATCTAGAACAAAAAAACAAACAAACTCTTATTTAGATCAAATTATTATTTCGTTTACCACAATGAACATTTTTTATTATTACGTTTGTTAACAAAAATACAAACAAACTGGAGGAAAAGGAAGAACATTGATGTCATACGACTATGCATCCTCATTCATCCTGATTCTTTTGGGAAATCTACGTCTTGTAGTCTTTCTTTTATGTATTGCGTTATGATGTTTTGAACAAAATCTGTACGTGAATGAGAAAAAATGGATATCATTTTCGGATTCAGCATACAGAAATTACTATAGAGCATGTAAAAATTTCAAAAAATATAACCATTGCAGGCCTGTGTTATTAATTAGCGAACTCGTATCCTTAGTATTTATTAATGTACTTGATTATTTATAATACTAAACGTATCCCAAACCCGAGAACAGTCTTATTGAGAAATAAAAAATAGTAATTTTTACTGAATTTTACAATTCTGATGTAACTAGTATACCAGAAGAGCTAAGTTATTCTTTCGAGAATAAATATTTTTGCCCTTTTCTTTAGAACAATCAAAGCTGTTAATCAGTATCACAAATAATATCAGTTATGAAAAATTTTCAACCGCCTCTTTCAAATATTAAAGCGGCATTTCCTCATTATAAGTAGAATAAAGTCGAATTCGGACTGGAATGTTTAGACCCAATTCTGAGACTTGCAGTGTCAGGTCCAGCGCAATTCGATTCTGAGAAAAAGAAACCGCTATGGGTCTGAGCATAAAGAAATATTTTTAGGTCCAACCATACTTGTGGAAAATAAAAAGGTGCTGCTCGGCTCGATTTCGAATACTTATACATATTAATGACCGATCAGATTAGACATCGGACCCGGCTCTAGTCCGAATATACTCATACATATTAATGACCGATCAGATTGGACATCGGACCCGGCTCTAGTCCGAATATACTCATACATATTAATGACCGATCAGATTGGACATCGGACCCGGCTCTAGTCCGAATATACTTATACATATTAATGACCGATCAGATTGGGCATCGGACCCGGCTCTAGTCCGAATATACTCATACATATTAATGACCGATCAGATTGGACATCGGGCCGTCTCTAGTCCGAATATACTTATACATATTAATGACCGATCAGATTGGACATCGGACCCGGCTCTAGTCCGAATATAATTATACATATTAATGACTGATGAGATTGGATATCGGACCTATCCGACTGATCACTAAAGGCTCCACTCCTGGCCTAGTTAGTCTAAAGCTTAGTCTAGTACTGGACACCTACTTTGGTTACGCATAAAACCTCTACAGGCACCAATATGAGGTGGCATATCACGTACAAATAGAGATGTTGTTTCGTAAGCCTTTTTAACCAGTCTATTACTGGGTGTACAGACTCTCAAACAGAATGAAAACGATCCTAGTGTTTCGGAAAGAGCTTGGATTGGCCCTGCGATAAAGTTCTGGGTTTCATAGCTGGCGAGCCGGGTTCGAATCCGTGCGACACTATAAACTATTCCCCACAAAAACACTTTAAGGCGTTGTAAGAATGACAGTAAATCCCTTAACGTTGAAATTAGGGTGTTGATGAGTGATTGTAGTTCAAAATGAGGGACAGTGGCAAATAGCCTTAGTAGCTTGGCCATAAATACAAAATACAAATTTGTATTTTTTAAGGGAAAGTGTTATATTTACTCGACCTTTCGCTTTACAGCTTCTTCGGAATTGTGCTATACGAGTTTTCAAGAAACTAGAAAAAGAATGTGTTTATAGAATATTCACGAAGAGGCTGTGAAGCGAAAAATTGACTAAATATATATATTTTTTAAGTATTATGGCCATCATTTATTGCGTGTTCTTTGCTTAAGTCAGCACTACTTAAGTCAAACAATGATGTATAGGCACTCGCTTAGAATCACATGTAAACTGGTGATGATGACGATGATGTTTAGAGTATTACACAATCTCTCATGACATTTACAGTGTACATTTGTCTTAATTGGATATGTTATTCAGAGTAACTATGGAAATGCATTACGAATACAATACTGAAAATATGCATTTTATTTTACTCAGTTTACAGCTGTCATTAAGATTGATAATAGTTTCATAAAACTTTATATAAATATCATTTTTAAGATAAAATTAGGCCTTTTTAAATGTTTTTAAGAGACAACGGCTTAGGTCTAGGCTTTGAACATTAAAGACGATTTTCAATAGATGAGTCTTATACAGAAGTTAGCGAAGAATAACGTCTGAGGTCTCAGGTTTTCCTGGTGATGAACTTATGCTGTTCGTGAAATATAAGAGAACCAGATATTAAGCACGTAAAAAATATAGGACAAAAATATCTGATTACAGGGCTGTGCATATATATGTATGTATATAGGATAAAAACATCTGATACTAGGGATGAAATCTATGAGATAGGAGTAGCCTGATTACAGGTCTCTGCATATACATATGTATTTAAAGAACATATGGTACTAGGGATGAAATCTATGAAATAGGAGTAACCTGATTACAGGTCTCTGCATATACATATGTATTTAAAGAACATCTGGTACTAGGGATAAAGGTTGTATGTTAAGAGTAATCTAATGGCCTGGCATGTGCCTATAAATAGATATATAGGATATAATATTTGATTTCAGGAATAAAGACTGTATGATAAAAAAATACCTTTTTTATTACAGGGATGTGCGTACATATAGAAGTTGGGTACATTATGTTGACACGATTTTTAACCTCATTTTTCATTACAGTCCATTTTGAAAATAGATCTGTAGCGTAGTTTCCATTGCAAAAGGCTCCATCGTAAAGATGTCATGTCTAAAATACACACCCTCCTCCTTGCAGGCTTTCCATAAGCATGTACGGTTTCCCAGCGGTCATTTTACAGTGTGATCTCACAGAAATCCATAGACACTATGTGTGACGATGTAACTAATTGTTTTCGTATGGAATAGCATGAATACACGTTTCTTTCGCTAGCTGCCTGAGGTGTTGCATGGTTGAACAAATGTGACGTGAAAGCAACTTGTAAACATGTGACTTGACTCGCTTTTCCAGATGGGGATTCTTTTTGATTATGTTGTGCACTGTTGCCTGTGACACGTAGACATTTTTTGCCACTGACATTTGTTTTCATGGATTCTCACCTATTACAAGACGTCACACTTTGCTTACCACAGCTGTGGTACGACTTGTTGCTGGTCTCTTTCTGGTGGGTCTGGTGCTCCAAATCGATCCATCGGAAAGGGTTGTTATATTCTCTATTCAAAAACGACCAATTTTCCATGGTATTACACTATCTACGAAACGCCAAACTATGTCAAAATTTAGTTCTGATAGGTGCCGTTCCATCGTGACTTTATGTCGGTTGTAGCTATCATGTAATTTGATGGTTTGCATATTAAAAATCATTTTAATATAACGTACTCAACCCTCTGTAGGATATAAATAACCGATACCAAATATTAACGCTGTAGGATAAGAATACTTGATGTCAGAAATCATAACTGTATGACAAGAACATTCAATATTCGACATCAAAGATAAAGTCTGAATTCAGATCCAAGTAGAGTAGTGACTAAAAAGTATAAACGACTCATGAACTAATGTTCAAATTACGCCCGCATAAATCCATATTGATAATGATAGTCGGGAAATTTACATATTCGCGTGTATATACTTGGGAACTGTGACACTTTTCAATAGGATGACACACTATTCACAACAACAAACCCATTCACTTTAGTCCATTAACTAACAGTCACGTACTTGTTGCCAGCGGCATAACTCCCACAAGTAACATTCAAACGAATTGACTTCAACGACTTTCATTCATCTTCTCTGTGAAGTAAGTTTAAAAATTTAGTTTGAAAACTAACTGAGATTAACAGAAAAAATCATCGATATTTGTTAAGCTTCCCTTTTCAAAACAGATTTTCTGTTTTCTGTTATGTAGAATGATGTTCGTTGTAGAAAGAAACACTAATTGTAACTACTCGAAAAGTGGCCCCCCTGGTTCAGCGGTAACCTTTTGAGTGCTTATATTGGTTAAATTTGGGGTTCGATCCCTGTGGTGAAAACATTGCAGCTAGCCGATCGGGCAATTTTTCGCTTAAAATAAAGCAACTTTAAAAAATATCGTAACCCCCTTTCATGCACTGCAGTGGATAATGTAGAACACACACGTACACATATTGTTTTTGGATAAATTTTACGTTATGCATTAACACGATGTCTCTTGGATATGATTTAGTTTTGTATCACATTATATTATTATAGTACGGTCAGTTATCTCAGTTAACGAAAGTGTATTGTCCATAAAGCGCTTGTAATATTTGTTTTATATCTCGTCACCTTTCAGTATTACATTTTTTTATTGTTCATGACGTACCGTGTAGTCCTTTTCATTTGATCTTGCTGTTTTAAAAGTGATTTGTTTCAGCAATATTATGTTATACTTGGGGAAATTACACATAGCTTTAACAGATCTAGACTTTAACGTTTGCGTTATTTAAAAGTTAGCACGCAGAACAGAAGAACACTGACCTTATGTTTAGATGAAATCCCAATCGAAATGAACGCCTGTTTTTCAGCTTTTCTGTAGAAAACATATTACTCGGCAAAGATAGAGCATCAGCTGTTAAGTTTCGATACTGGAGGAAGTATTTTGTTATTAGCAAGCGTGTCACATTAACGATAATTAATCGAGAACTAGTTGGTTATCCGTAGATAATAGACAAGGTTATTGAAACTTTAAAATATGTTTTATATGACGATAAAGCTTATTTGAAGAATGATAGTTATTAACAGTTTTACCAAAACGTCTCAGGATTTATCTCGGTGAGATCTAATAGCTACCACTGTGAATTAACAAAAAAATTTAAGCTAAATCTTCAGAGTATATAATTTGTACTAT